AAATAAAATATGGAATCCAAAGATGAAATTGTTTTACATTTTGGTGGCAAATCAACCATTCAAACTTTTTTTTTGGTAAATAAAAGAAGCTTGAATGGTTGAATTGCCACCAAAAGGTGAAACAATTATAAAATTTTTAGATAAAATATGTCAACCCTTAACATCATAATTAAATAATAAAGATTAAAAACACAAAAATTATAAAAACTTTGTAAAAAATATTTGGGAACATTTTTAATATCATATATTCATCATATTAAACTAAAGATAAGTATCATAAATAAGAATTACTTTGTACACATAGAAATATAAAAAAATTGGAAACATATTATTAATATTGTCATCATCATCATCTAAAATTGCAATGTGCAAAACCATGCACATTTGTTAGTACAACACAAAAAACACAAAAACTAAAGAAAAAATAGGAATTGCATAAATTATAGAAAATGCACAAAAAATGAAGAAAAAAGGAAAATAAAAGAAAATACAGAAACAGAAATTTTCATAAAGTATAACAAGGAAAAAATGAGAAATACAGAAAACACTGGAAATTGCAAGACAAAAAACAAAAAATACAACAAAATTTTGAGAAAATATGACAAAATACAGAAAATTGCAAACAAAGAAAAGGAGGAATGTACAGAAAAATAGAAAAACATAAAAAAATATTGAATTTTGGATAGATATTTTCATAATTTTAAAACCATGACATCAGCAATTTATGTTAGGTTACTGATGGCATAGTAATGGAAAGAGTCTATGAGAATATTTACCCCAAAATTCAGGGAATTTTTTGGGGAGGTCAAAGAACAAGGGAAGTTTAAAAATCCCAAGGGAGGGAGGTTTAAGCAAATTTTCCAATTATTGATTCCCATAGATTTACTATAAACTCTTGCAGGTAAATTATACTCATACCCCCAGCCCCTATGTTTAGGGGTGATCATGGGCCACCATTTATAAGGGCAACAGGCCAAGCCCAGGCCGAACTGGCCTGGGTTTCAAGCCTGAAACATAAGCACAAGGCTAGGCCAACATGGGTCCCAATCGAGAAGAGCCTGATTCCGAGCCTACAAATTTTATGCTATAAATATATCATTATATTTTATATTTTATACACTATATTAGTATCCTGGATCGGGCCTGGATTTGCCTAAAGTATTGGGCTATGGTTCGGCCTAAAAATTTGTGGGCCTAACATGGCCTCAGGCCCAAGCCATGCCTAAACACAAAACCTAGGCTGAGGGGGTAAAGCTCAAAATGACCCTTTCAGCTCGGTTTCTTCACGCCATGCCAAAGCTAAGACTGCATTGGCAACAACCAAGAAGAGAATGAAGTCTGCAAAAGCGGTTGTAAACGTAACCTTTGAAGCAAGGAAAGGATTTTTGTTAATATTTTAATTTAATTCATACGAGAAGGGGGCCGTGCGATGCACAAGATGGGGCATCCCTCCTTGTCTCTCGCTCCCGTAAGTCAAGATACTCTACTCTATCCCTGCCCCAACCCCAGTGGTGGGGCGGGTTCGGGGTGAGGCACCTATTCCCCTGTTAGGGATGGGGAATTCCCAAATTTTTCCCACCTGAAGCAACCACTTAACAAAATCTAATTTATGGATATTTTACAAAAAGGATTATGGGAATTTGGGGGTATTTTAAGAATTGGATTATGACAACTTGGGGTTATTTTATAAATGAAATTATGGGATCCTACGATTATAAGAATATGAGAAAAACTTAGAGATATTTTAAAAATCAATATTAAATTTATGGATATTTTACTAATTTACCATCGGGTTCGGACAAATATATGCAAATCACATCCCTAATTTGGGGCAAAAATATTTTCCTTGTCCCTACCCTGTCTCTACTTCGTCCCCTTTTAAGATTTGAGAAAACTAGCCCCTGTTCGGGGCGGGGCAAGGTATGGCGCCAATTTTACAAGGAAAATTGTCATCTCTGCAATTCTAATAAAGTGTTGGGCCGGCATGACACGACTCTCATGTGCCCCACACAAAGTGCGAGCCATGCCATGCTGGCCCACGAGGAGTCCCAGGCCATGCCTCCCTCCCTTGGGATAATTTGGGGGGTCGGTTTGGCACGACCCATGGTCTGAGCCCACACGGGCCCGTATCATGCCTTGGGCTAGGCTGGTCCATGGCCTTGGGCCAGGCCAAGCTGCATATCGGGCCAAGCTATGAGAGGTCCATTTAAAAAAAAGAAAAAGATGTTTAATTTTTTATTTCATATGATTTTTTACGTATACAATTGTTTATATATATATAATTAGACATATTTAGGCTTGGACCAAACTTCAGGCCCATGGGCTCGAGCTCGGACTTTGTCAAATAAGTCTAGCCCAATACTATTACATATATAAAGAAGTACTTATGTTATATATATATACTTCTTAAATTATTAATAAAAATAAATTTACTATTAGGAAATATAAATCAATTTATTAAATTATTACTAAATTAATATAATAATAGTTTATAAAAGTATTCTGAAAATAAGACATTTTGTGTATAGATCAGGCTTCGAGTTTGGGCTTGAGCTTCGAGCTTTATATAAGGGCTGGGCTGGGCTCGGGCTCAAGATCTAGGCCTGATGGTTGGGTCGGGTTTGGGCTTGACCTTGCACATTTTCCATTGATAAAGATGCCTATGTTAATTATAAAACTATGATTTTTTATAAATTAAAATTTGTATTTAATTCTAGTCAAATATAAAAAATATATAACATTTATATATATATATATATATTAATATAAAATTTGTTATTTAAAAATTATATAATAATATTTACCATATATGCATATAACTTCCAAGTTGAGCTTATTAGGGGTTGTTTAGCTTTGGCCCTATTTGGTAAAGCCATCATTGGAGTCCAAAAGTTTGATACTTGATTAGACTTCGAATCTGAATATCTTTGATAATATGTGGGCATGGTGCATATCTCAGCTAGAACTAATTCAAAAGAAAGTAGTTGCTTGATCTTGCAAATTTATAGATCTAATCAGGTTAGGTTAAGTTGTAAATGATTTGTTACTTTTTATTGTTAATTACTAAAATATTATAATTATTAAATTACTATACTTATTTAAAATACAGTAATTTCTGGAAATTATCATATTTTCAGAAAATATTGCTAAAACTAATTAAATGTGGTAATTAAATATAACATTTTGGTAATTAAATGTAATTTTCTACTATTCATAGCTTAAATTATAATTGCTGTTAATTATAGTTTAAAGATAATTATTGTTAATTATATTACTATTAATAATTAAAATACATTATTTTTTTCATTATTATTTAATTTTTTGCAATAAAATACAAATAATTTATTTTTTTAATTATTTTTAGTATTTTAATTAAGCTTTAAGTTTTTTCAGAATTTTTGGATTTTTAATTAAGTTTTGGTGTTTTTTTCATTATTATTCAATAATTTTTGCATATGTGTACTTTTCAATAATTTTTAGTATTATCAGCATTTACTTTTTGCATATTAGTTACTACAAAGTTAATTTGCATTTGCTTTCAATAAAGATAAAATAAATAAAATAAATAAATACCATCTATATACATATATAGATGGTATTTTATTTATTTATTTATATATATATATATAGAAATCTGTCAAAAAATTTTCTCCTTTTTCTGAATTTTTATTTTTTTGTTCCATGTCATTTTTTTAAAGAACCAATGAGACACTTTCCTTCCCCAACAATCTCTTCTCCTAAAATTTATCCTAAGCTACCTCCCCACTTTCTCCTAAATCATCGCCAATTCCTATTTTATCTCCTAACTTATCTTTGAAACCGACTGACCTTTTGTGAAAACCGATCCACTCAAGTTGTTTGTGTTTGGGTCGGTTTTTTGGTTTGATTAATTGGTCCAAAAGATTTAAACTTAAAAATTAAATTTAATTTTAAAAATTATAGTGCAATTATTAAAAATAAATTTAAAAATTAAATTTATGATATAAAACATTTTAGACTAAGAAATATGGGAAATTTTTCACTTTTCTATTTTAAAAATTATATTTAAAATATAAAATATTAATATATATCCATGGTTAGGTCGTTCGATTTTGGTTGGTTTACAAATGGCCAAAGTGAAATTGATCCAACTTGGTCGAATTAGGGAAGTTTTGAACCAAAGCCCAACTAAAATACTAGAAAATCGACCAACTCGGGTTGAGTTGATCGGGTTGGTCAGTTTCATCAATTTGATGAATAAACCTAACTGAAATTAATTATTTTTATTTTTGTATTATAAAAAAATTTATTAAAAATAATATATAAAATATGAATTTAAAAATTTGAAAATATAAAACAATTGTCTACTCTTATGTGATTCTATTAGGGTCATTTACTAGAACACACTCTATAGTTTTACATATTTACTTAAACCTATCTTATAGTTTTCATTTTATTAAAACATCCCATATATTTTACAACTTATTTACTTATTCAATCTTTCACTAAGGAGTGTTTGTTTTTCCATTAGGCCCATGATTTTTTATTCCAAAAATACCCTTAACACTTTTTTTGTACAAAAAGCAAAATTAACCAAATATAGCCAATAGAGTGATTGAACGTGTCTTATAAAGGGCAAAAATGGTATTTTTATTTTTATTTTCTTTTGATTAAATTTATTTAAATGAACATTAGGGTCAACACTGTCATTTTCCACTGTCATCTAATGGAAGGTTGATTAAATCCATTGCAAATTATAAGTGGTGTTTTAGTAAAATTTTAACTATATATAGTAGATTTTAGTAAATCCATAAAAATATAAAGGGTATTTTAATAAATGACCTTTTTCTATTATTTAGCTTTCATTTAGTAAATCCCGTGCGATTCTTACTAGTAATTATTTTGAAAAAACACCAAAATAAGTAATGATTATTATTTTATATTTTTATAACAAAAGAAAAAAGAAAATAAGAAAAACTGCAAAATAAATAAATTCTCTCAAATGAGAATCAACCCCCCACAAGATTGCCCCTTACAACCTCCCGCGGCACATTCCCGTCGTGTATTGGGCTTCCCATGATAATTCTAGAAATGATTATGTTATCATTGGGAGATGTTCTCGATAGACGGCGGGGATGTGCTTGGAGACGTTGTGGGGGCAATTTTCTGGGGCTGATTTGAACTCGGATGTGGGGCGCGATGCGATTTTATTTACAGTTACATCGTCTGTTGTTGGCCGTTAAACTTGATGAGAGAAGAAAGGGGGAATGGCCGCCGGCGGCAGGGGTGCATCACTGCGCGGTACCCCATCTGCGCCGCCTGTAACGTTGTCAGTCTTTGCACGTCTTTGAGTTTTATCTTAACACGCGGGCGATGATTAAAGCGAAAGATATGATGTCAGCTGCAGAGAGCAGTTCAAAATTTGTTGGAAAAGTCATGAATTTGACTTTTTGGTTTAATTCCGGACCACCAATTATAATGGAGTTTGCGCTGAGATCAGAGGCTTACCAAGAATAAAAAAGCAACCAATAGATGATCTCTTTCTTCTCCGGATCTCAGATACTCCCGTCTCATTTCAAGGTAAAATAGCTCTCCCTCTCTCTTTTTCTCACTAGTTCTGATTTTTCTTTTGTGTTTGATTCATTACATTGTTTTTTCTTGTCTTTATACTTCTCAATTTACAATAAGTCCTCTCTTTTGGAATGGAATTGAAATAGTTCTGGTGAAGAATCGTGTATAGTTGGAAGAATAGTATCTCAGTGGAGATGGTGATAGGGGTAGAAGTTTGGAGATTAAAGGGTATGGATCAGAATTGGAAGGAAAAGAATTGGGTTACTTGGGTGTTTTCTTCAGAGATGGTGGATCCTTTGAGAACAATCTTTCTTCATATGGGTTATTTAAACTGAATTTTGATTTTGTAACCAAAGAATCTCCTCCTATTAGGGGGGAAATAATGCAATATGTAGAATTAGACGTATGATTAAACAGAAAAACCAACGTGAGGTTAGGGTTCTTTTTTCCCCTTTCTAAACTTTTTTTTTCCCTAAAACGAATGTGATTAGTTATTTTATCATGGTAAATTGATAGACTAAGTATTAGAGCTAAGACTTACTGGTATTTGGGTTTCCCAGCATACTCTTCAAATGGCTCGGTCGGCACTAGATGAGATGTCCATTTCTGGTGCTTTTGTCCGAACTCCATCAACATTCCGCAATTTCATTTCAAGAGATCCAGCATCTCCTTTTCCTGCAGAATCCGGAAGATATCATCTCTACATTTCATATGCTTGTCCTTGGGCATCCAGATGCCTTTCATTCTTGAAGCTTAAGGGCCTTGAAAAAGCAATTAGTTTCACGGTAGAGTATCTCTGGAATTCCTTCTTGTGTGCTTGGAGCTGTTATCATCATCCATTACATATGATGTTCATTGAGTATTACAGGCAGTCAAACCCAAATGGCAAAGAACAAAAGAGACTGATGAGCATATGGGCTGGGTCTTCCCCACTTCGAGCGAGGAGGAACCAGGTGCTGAACCCGACCCACTCAATGGAGCAAGAAGTATCAGAGAACTCTATGAAATTGCTAGTGCAAACTACATTGGAAAATATACTGTGCCTGTCTGTATTGACTTTTCCGTGATTCTTCATTTTCTGTAATTATTTTCTTGGTTTCCATGTTTAACAGTTGTGTGATAACTTATAACTGATAATGTCGTGCTCTGTGACAGGTTTTATGGGATAAGAAACTTAAGACGATTGTTAACAATGAGAGTTCGGAGATAATCCACATGTTTAATTCTGAATTTAATGATATAGCAGAGAATGCAGCTTTGGATCTTTATCCTCCTCACTTGCAATCCCAGATTGATGAGGTTAATGAATGGGTATATAATGGGATAAATAATGGTGTTTATAAGTGTGGGTTTGCAAAGAAGCAAGAGCCATATGAAGAGGTAATGACTGCTTAATTAACTTATGCTAATACTGTACTAAGATCACCAATTTATCTCCATTATAGGAGTCAATCTCTAATCTACTTGTTTCTTTTGTCACCCAGCTGGGGGCTGCATTCAACGTTCAATGACTTTCAGAAGATTATTCAATCTTTGTCATCTTTGTAAGACTATGCAATGATTTTCCTTCATTTGTGCAGGCTATAAGAAATTTATACCAGGCTTTGGACAAATGTGAGGAGACACTCAGTAAGCAGCGGTATATCTGTGGGAATATGCTGACTGAAGCTGATATTCGTCTGTTTGTCACTCTTATAAGGTTTGATGAGGTACGAATTATTTGAAAGGCTGATACATGTTTAGTTTGAATAGTAGTCGATGTTATGCAGATACACATAATATCATGTACAACTAATTGTCCAAGTGTAGGACTTGCTTGAACCTTGAAATGTTATGATCAATAGGACAGCTTAATATGGTTGTACTTTTAAAATTTTTATAGTTAAGTAGAAGAAATCTAAAGGCTGCAAAACACATGCAGTGCCCAATGCTTTAAAATCATCATCCAGTACAAGGAAAGACTAGGAAAAAGAATCCCTTCAAGAAAGAACATCCCATTCATGACCTTTTGCTGCAATAGTTCAACTGCTTCTCCATAAAAAAAGTGAGAAACCTTCATCAATTCATCTATCCAAATCTGATGAAGATGGTGTTATCAGTAACCACCTTAGGCCTTATTCTGACAGAATGTCCTCAAAACTTGAAACTTTAGTTTTGAAGATGCTATTAGTAACAACCTAGGTTCAGGAAGCTACAGTTGGATAATTAGCAGTTCTATCAACTGTTTAGTAATAGTTCACCCTTGATTGAACATAATATGTAGCTGGACTAATCTTTTTTAATGATGTGATGCAGAGTTGAGACCTATTCATCAAAGAATAGATTATTAACCCAAATCTATCAAAGATTATGGGAAACTTAAAGGATCTATGTGTTTTAAGTAGTACCTTTAGTGAATAAAAATAACCTGACTACAAACATCAAATCCTTGCTTGCAAGAGTACAATGCATAAAGACTGCGTTTTTGGCCCTCACAAAGTTACAAGTATGATTACAAAGACTCATTGCTTGTGGGAATTTTTAGACCCCTCACCTTACTGAGAAGTAGATCATTCAAAGTAACCAGATAACTTGTCTTTAAGAAAAGACCCAATGTTGGTCCCGGCTATCTGGGGTCTTGATAGCAGGCAGACTGGATACAGTCCTAACCTTTGGCTTTTTTCTTTTGCACAAAATGACTGCTCTCAGGCTCTCACACTTTCCAGCCCAAGATTTTACCATTACACCAAGCAATAGCCCTTAACTAGATAACTTGTCTTTCATAAAAGTTGAATTTAATAGGCTTATGATAAAACTTTCAAGTTTTAAAATGCTTCCTTCATCAGATTGTTGTGTGGTCTAAATAACACAAATTTTCTGAACTACAGGTGTATGTTGTCCATTTCAAGTGCAACAAGAAGATGCTACGTGAGTATCCAAATCTGTTCAACTACACCAAAGACATTTTCCAAATTCCTGGCATGAGTAGCACAGTTAACATGGAACACATCAAGCGGCATTATTATGGAAGCCATCCAACCATCAATCCGCTTGGGGTAATTCCTGTTGGTCCTAACATAGATTATTCTTCTCCTCATGATAGAGAGAGATTCTCTACTTAGAAAGCTCATTTTATTCCCAAGTTGTATGTGATGTCCTGTTAAAAGGTGCCAAAATAAACAGCTCCAAATGTCAAAGCTTAAGTTGTCTTTTAGCTATCTATTTATTGGGCAGTCATCTTTTCTACTATTGCAGAAAGATTGGTCATGGAATATCGACAGATCCTACATGTTTTTGTTTAGTTCATAAAATTTGAAACTCAAAGGTGCCATGTGATTACTTTCAAGGATATCCTCCCATCCATTGCTCCACTTTTCAATATACGCATTCCTGCGTTTAGACCAAGGGTGATCATGGGCTGGGTCAGGCCTGGCCGGGTTTTGAGCCTAGCCACTGATTAAACTTTATAAAATATATAATATTTTATATTTATGACATATAAAACATATGGTATAATTTATCTAAATATAAAATGTTATATATGATCACGTGTCATTTTACATCGACTATGATACCAAAAAAACTTATAATCAATCAACTAGTATCATAAAAGTGATAACCAATCAGGTGGTATTCATCAAAATTCACAGGGGGCTTTAAATGGTCAAAGCTCATCCACTATCATGCCTTTCTAACATCATGGTTTTATTCTAATTATGTACATGATGTGACACAAAACATACATAAGTATAAATTTAATATATTATGGGTTTGGCTGGGCCAGACTTGAATTGTTGGGCCCAGGCTAGGACCTAAAATTTCTAGGCCAAATGCAGACTGGGATCGGGCTGGGCCTGAACACAAAACGTAGGCCCAAGCCTTAAAATTTCTAGACTGGGCAGAGTCGGGCTGGGCCTGAACACAAAACGTAGGCCCAAGCCTTAAAATTTCTAGACTGGGCAGAGTCGGGCTGGAAATGATATCCCCTAGTTTGGACTGGTGCATCTCATGGCTGGAAATGGAATTGGTTCTCTCAAATTCAGTTTTTGCCGTTTTGTGTCCATTAGATGAGGGGAGTCTTGGAGGGTGGAGGATTCCACCAACTAGAGAAGATAAGTGGTTCAGAATAAGGATTTGGAAATACATGCTTCAGTAACTTATGTCCAATCAAAGACGACATCAAGGGATTCTATTCCAACGCAAGAGCAGCTCTAAACATGAATTCCCAACCTTAATATTAATAGTGAGCGGTTCTATCTAAACCATTTTCCTTCCAAAGGTCTTGGAGGCAAACCTTCACCAGATGAATCATTAATACTTATGAATTGTAATTTGTTCTAAAAATCCTCACTCAACTAGGGCCTTCAGCATCTCAATTATTTGTTATATCATTAGCACAGGCACATCAAAAGGGAAGAAGAAGAAAATGTACATCTTTATTTCTTCCCATTTGTGAGGGTTATTATGGCTTCTGGCGTTGCAGGGTAGGTTGGTCCTACATGGAAGGCCATGAAGTTTTGTTTGGTGAAAACCCAAAAAGCCCAAAAACATTTAACTGAGAAATCAGCTTTCCAGTGAAACTAGTTTTGGTAGCCTCTTCAAAATGGCTCAGTCAACAGATTTAACACAGCTCAATCAATGCTGGAACCCTCCTAAATGGATCCTTAATGACATAGTAGATCCTTTACAACTTACAAGAGTTCAACAACTGTTTTTGATTGTCTCAATTAAATGATATCAAACACCATTTTTTTTACCAAATAACAACTTTCTTAGATTAGAGTCTCACAGATGGATTGAAGCAGATTAAAACCAATATTTTTGAAAAATAATTGGGTCTTTCAATGAAAGATGCAAGCCTCCCTCCAAGCACTGTAGTACTGTACCGATGGATGCATACCCAAAACATTGTAGTATGTCTAATTTTTACTTGATCATGCAAACATCTTTGGTTTTTGTGCATGCCTAAAATTTAAATATAATATCAACTTATATCTTTACCTTTTAATTTCATGCGTGCATAACACATGCCCATAGTTGGGATAGGTCTTGAATGACTATGCTGCTGATGATGATAAATACCTAAGTAAGTTTATATTATATCTATCAGTGAGGTCGGTTTGAATGCTGTTTTCTACTAAATTGTCACGGGTTCAAATTCCATACAAGTAATTTTCAATTGATACAATATGAATGTCATTTTTAAGTTCATTTTATCAATAAAATATAATGTTTTGATTATTTTCAATTTACTATACCAATTGCAATTTCAATTCGCTTCAATCTAATGCCAATATAAATCTGTTGGATAAAATCCAATTCGAATTCAAATATTGGATCCACCTATATCCGATTGGATGCAACTCTACACCATCTCAGTGAGCTTCAAGATTCTCAATTTCTCAGGCTGTATGTAGGTGAGGAAATTATTTTTGCACATGTAGGGTTTGAGTTCGGATCTCCTACCTTGCTACCCACAAGAACCCTATCCAGGCCTCAGAACATCTCTTATGTTTTGCATGTTACCATTCATGGAGAGATATTCCCAATGTACAGCTGTAGTATCATATGGGGAGGCCTGAGTGGCAGATCTGAATTGGTAGGATGCACGTGCTGCTTTTGATGAAAAGACTGACTAACTTACGGTGTCAATAGAGAATTTGCAGTGTAAACATTGCCATATTGGGAATCCAGATCTACCTACAGCACACTACAGCTGTAGATTGAGACAAGATTTGAAATTTCAATACGTATCGGCCGATACATATTGTATCGGGGGCTTTCCGAGATGCCCCTCTAGGTAGGGCTGCAATTGAGTAGAGCTCTAATCAAACCTTGGGGTAAGCTCGTAAGATCGATTAGTTGTTCGAGCTCGAGCTCGACCAATAAAAAGTTTGACTCAAAAGCCCTCGAGCTTGGCTCGATTAACACACACACACATATAGATTATAAAATATACAAATATATTTATTTTCCAGCTTTCAAGTTGAACTCAAGCTCATTGAATATTTAATCGAATATATTCGATTGCAGCCTTACCTCTAGGGGATGTTTTGAGATTTCGATTGGTTTAGAGGGTAAATAAACCTTAAACCGGTCCCTCTGAACCGAATTTAAAAAAAACTAAAAAAACAAAAAAAAAAAACTACTGATACTGCTCGATACACCTCTATCGGGTGCACCAATATTTTGAACCTTGCATTAAAAACATATCCCCATAAATGATAACATGTAAATACGAAAAATATTCCCAATGTACAGCTATAGTGTCCTGTGAACAAGTGTGGATAGGAGATCTGAGCTATTATATTCAAGATTTAAAATATCATCACGTATCGGCCCATATCAATCGATACGTATCGTATCAGAGCCTTCCCAATACGCCCCTACAGGAGGTGTTTCGGGTCGACGAATGATTCAAGAGATAGACCAGCCTTAAACCGACCCTGAACCAGATTCAAAAAAAAAAAAAAAAGTAACAATACAGGGTGATACGCCGTATCATATTTTGAACCTTGCCCATATTGGTGCCTAGCCGGAAGCTATAACCAACCTTTGGGAGAATCAGTCGCCCACCCATTGTTGTCAACCATCAATGCAAGAAATTTGTGGTCCCTCTCAAAGAGGTTTGTAAGTGGCTGCTGCACCCAAGAGGTCATGAGTGATTTTTTATGAAACTATTGCAAGTCAAACAAGCTTGTTCAGCATGGGAGTGAGGAGCCATTTGATTAATAAAAAATTCAAGGGTGTAGAAATCAACCCATTTCAATTTTATCCATATTAAGGAGTTCACACAACTTAATAACTTATTCCTAAAAAGATAAATAATAAGTCTCAACCAAGCGGTTTTAAAGATTAATAATGAATTTCTGAATCATATTGCTTCTGGAATGAACATCCTGGATTTAAAATTTTAATAAATTCATGAGCCACACATGGTCCAGGATGATTGAACTCAAGAATTGGAGCCTGTTGCCATAGACTGAAAATAAAGGTCAAACTCAGAACCGAGAGTAAATTCAAAAGTGGTGCTAGTATTACCAGCCTTTGTCCTCTATGGATCTCTAAAATCACAAAAAGGAAGATGTAAACAGGAGGTTTTGTGTAAATACACAATATGTGCTTATCTTTTTTTTGCTTAGCCTTAGAAGACAAGCAAGCCAATGTCATATTGAGCAAGAAAGATGTACCTTTGGAAAAATTCTACTTGGCCATCATTAGAAAAAGAATAATTGAAGCACAAGTTTGGGACACTTGTCCAACTTGGAGACATCAAAACATCTTTTTCGTTTTTCCTGTGATATCATTAGTAGGGTAGGAAGCAACAGCAGTTTTGATGTGATATCAAAAGAGTCCATGATGACCTGAAATTCTTTTACAGAATGCCCAGCGCTTGGCACAGATTAACATTGAACCTTCTTCCATGAATGGTAAAAAAAACCATTGGCCTATGAACTTCCCTTCCGATATGGTACAGTGGATTAAGTCCTGTTTTGGCTCAATCTGCCGAGATTGGATACCAGGTCTAGTGATGATCATGGGTCAGGATGGGCCAGGCTGGGCTTTTGGACCAAATGCCTATGCATTTTCCAGGTCTGACCTGAACACAATCTCGGACCAAGCCCGGAAATTTGTGGGCTGGGCTAGAAATGATCACCCCTAACCTCTAATGCAGCAATTCAGCATTGCACCCCACTAATGGTACCTGCATAATCCAGCTATTGTTCCGTATTTGCCAACAGAATTCCAGCTGTATTTAAACATACATAGTACCAAGGTCTCATTAGTCATCTGTCAATGGAGCTTGAAGTGAATATACTTCTCATGTTTTTCATAGCAGATATTTTAGTTCTCTTTTAGGAATTTTGCTCCTATTCTATGGGGCAGAACAGGGTGCACATGAGGCCCACTGGCCAATTGGCCATACCAGGAGCATGCAATTCAGCGGGTTTGATCCTCTGCCACCTATTTGGAGGGGTGCCAAGTGACCATTTTGACAACTGGGTCATCAGCTTTTTGCTCCTATTCAGCCTCTAAAGTAATTTATTGTGGTTGATACAAAGAAAGAATTATAGGCTGCACTTGGGTTTTCAGAAAGTAGCACACCTTAGTGCCCTAACCTGTCTTGGGAGAATGGGAGGTGCTCATTCTCAGATATTAATTTGTAATGCATGAAACAAGAGAGAGGAAAAAAGCAGAGTTCATGGATAAGTGCAGCATGTTTTCACAAAGTCCAATTCATGGTTTTTGCATCATCAATAAATTTTGTTCACAAAGTCAAAAATACAAAGTTCAATTTTGGGTCATCTTTAAATTTTGTATTTCATTTCCATCATCAATAAAAACAATTCTTCTTTATCACACTTCTTTTTCTTTAATATGATTAATAAAAAATATTAGAGATGTGTCCAAACCACTCTTGACCTATCTACCAATCAAAAATTGCACTACCCTAAACTATTGAAAATATAAGAAGCAAAAAAAAATACCTAAAAAAGGAGGTTTCAAATATCTTTTACATGGCTAAGAGCTTTTATCAACTGATTGCATTGCCTAACATGTCTAGACATGCCTAGGGAGCAGATATGGTAGTACCAATAGTAGGACCTACCCAAAACTCCTACAAAATGGGAATGATGCCAAGAGACATTTTTCAAGGCCTTTCTTCTTCCTTTTATATCTTTTAGCTATTTTTTGGACTTCTAAATTGATCTAACCAAGCAAGTGCTGCTGCATCATCTTTAAAAAGTTCATAAAATGGATCTCCACCAAGGAAGAGTTGCATGCAAGGTTGCTTTATCCAGGCACAATCAGTGGATAAAACAAATAAATTTTTCATTACAAAGTAAACTGAACCAGCCATATGTACAGAACTCCAACAGGTATAGAAGTGGATTCAAGCCGAGCCGAGCCGAATAGTACGAGGCTCGAGAACGGCTCGAGACTGCTCTACAAGGCTCGAGCTCAAGCTCGAGCCCGGTTCAAGCCAGAACGTTGAGCTCGAGCTCGGTTCAAGTAAAAAATTCATAAGCTCGAGCTCGATTTTGAGAAAAATATATTTTATAAAAGTAAAAAATTATATATAAAAATATTTTTTATTTGATATTTAAAAAATTAAGAATTATAATAATTAAAAATTATAATATTTTTATTATATATATATTATTTTCTATACTTGAGCTCGACTCGTTTCATAATCAAGCCAATGAATTGGGCTTGAGCTCGGTTGAAACCGAGCCGAGCCGAGCTTCTCACGAGTTGAGCTCGAGCATCTCGTGAAAAGCTCGGCTCGTTGCCACCCCTAAACAAGTAGATGAGACAAATGGCTCTAATGGCTGGGATTAAGAAGGTTTATCCAAATATCCAATAGATGACTGCAAAGAACAAGAAGTTTCTCAAAATAGCCATCAGTAAGCAAATGCAGTCATCTCAAAGGTGAGTTCATAAATTAGATTTGGTACCAAAAGGTCAGAAGTTTTGTCATGGACCCATGGCCATGTAACTCGGTACTTCCTTGAAAACTGGAAAATCAGTGGGAAGTTCATCCATATTAGGACCAGTCACGGAAAGAGCTGGTTCAGTAATAGCACAGTTTTAAGCAACACATCTAATTTAATAGGTCTAGTATCTGTGCAGACAATTTGGCACTTGGTATGGCACTCCAAGTAAGCCATAACATGCTGACAGTGCTTGAAACTAAAATCAATAGAGGTGCAGCTTGAACTGAGTTAACCCGAACTCAATCCAAAAAGGTTGGGGTGGGTTGAAGGTTGGCTTAGGTTTAGGGTTGAGATTTATGAACCCAACTTTAACTTCAGGTCTTATTAGAGTTGAGACCTTGGGCAACCTAACCCAAACCCAAAGCATTACACATAGGTCTACACTGAAACGGTACTCCTTTATAGCAATATTATGGGTTCCATGTAGACTTATTTCCTTAGTACAAAGACTTCTAATCACTTTCCAACATATACCTAAAAGTGGAATGATTTCAATACATATTAAAACTCCTAAACACGTTCTAAAAGTAGACAGTTTGACTCAATACAAGTTTAATACAAATTTCTCATAAGAAATCAGCTTCTAAAATTAACAACTATCAAATACAATATTAAAATTCCAAAAAATGGAAAATCCCATCATAAACTCATAGGTTGTCCACAAAATAGCCATAACTCATTCAATTCATGTCCAAATCACATGATCCCAAGCTTGTTGGATAAGCAATTAAATAACTTTTATTTTATGAATTGGCAATTACATAACTTTCAAATTGACTCTAAGGCCCCGTTCGCTTTTTGGTAAGTTACTTACCTAGGTAAATGCAATTACCTGGGTAAGTTTTTCCTGGGAAACACTTACCTAGGTAAGTGCGTTTACCCATGTTCTTTTATTTCTCATGTAAATAAGGCAATGACCATTTTAGCCATACAAATCTATTATTAAAAGGGGCATTTTTGTCCCATTCAAGTGTTGGCAACTTTCTCCCTAGGTGGGAAAGTTATTTACCCACCTAGGAGGGTATCACCTACCCAGGTATGTGATAACCAGGAAAATAAACTTTTCCCTGGTCCCCACATAAATCTGAAAAAAGAACATGGGATTCTTGGTCAATGGAAACCAAAATTCCATTGACCAACTTTCCCCCCTCTCAAAATCTGAAAAAAGAACGCCCCCTAAAGTCAAGCTAATCGGGGAAAGTTTTGGCACTTATAATTTAGACAGGAAGTAACAAAATGAACTTCAGATAACAGAAGCATAACCATGAAAGGAACAAGCAAGAAAAGCTGAGGAGTGAAGAGGCAAAAGCCAATTCTTGCCTAATTGTTGGTCATACATCCACAGTATTGCATGGTTTCAATCCATTAATGCATCAGATACCAAAAATTTGCTCATATACTTTTTCTCTATCATCTCTGACAATCACCATGGACTATTATTTCGGGGAAAACGATCAAGGTTTACAATTAGGGCATATATACCAATATCACAATAAAATTACAAGAATGCTCCGGGAACTGACAAATTTTGATGCCCTCTCCAGCAATATCAAAAGTAAATAGAATATATCCTGAAAACATGTGGAGATGCAATTTCAATTCAAAATGCCAACAGAAAGAGGACACTAATTGGGAAAATTAAGTCAACATTGAAAACCATTCAACGATTTAATTCCAAACCACATTCAACAGAATCAAACAATTACTAGAAAAACAGAAGTCAGTTTCTCCTTGTCATTACCTAGAAGAATTTAGATGATTTAACAGAAGAATTTAGATGATTTAACAGATAAAGATCTTCCCTTTGTATAGATTGGCTGAGATTCTCAAGCAAAAGAGTATTCAAAATTCGACTTTCAAACCAACAAAAAAAAAAGAAAAAAAAAGGAGGAAGATAAAAGAACCTATCATAGTTCATTGTCCAAAAATCAAGAAACAAGTCTAATTAAAACCAGAAACTAACCAGGAAAAATACACTATTTGAGTTGAAGAAAGCATACCAATACGGATTTTGTCAGTGAACAGGGAGAGATACGCGGGAGAATGTCAGCGTTAGGATTCATGGATTCTGATGAGATGAGAGACAGACAGAGAGAGCAAGTTGGGCTTGTTGACACTGAGAGCGCTTGAGCGATGTTCCGCTGCTTGAGCAGAGGCTGCGAACGGCCTCCGACTCGGCCGGGCATACGAGCGAAACGAGACAGTCAGCGAGCGAGCGATTCAGGTGGCGGCAGGCCACCTCTCGTGGTGGCCCCGGCGGGACTCGCCGGTGACACTCGCACAACGCACGGTGAAGTCGCTCGCACCCGGCCACGCTCATGGTTTCGTCTCCCTGCGTCTGTGACATGGTGAGCCCCACACCCGCCACAAAGATCTCAAACATACGTCTGCTGAGTGCTGCCGACTCGCTGAAACACGGAGCAAGTTTATATAACTAGAGAGGCGTATGCTGTGTTGTGCCATGTAGGCCTATACGGTTCACGGTTCACGGTTCACGGTTCAAGCCATGTAGGCCTATGCTGTGTTGTGCCATGGGTCGGGCTAGTTCGTGGGCCAAGTTTTGGGTTAGGTCGGGTTATGAATTGGGTCAAATTATTTATTTAAAAAATTAAAATAAAAATTTAAAATTTTAATTTTATATGAATTTTAATATATACAATAGTTAAATAAATCAGTATAATAAAATTAAAAACGATTGTTTATTTTATTAATATATTATATACTATATATTATTATATAATATATTGTATATTATATAATATAATATATATATATATATATATATATATAAATACATATAAAATATATATACATAATATATGGGCTATGATGCCCAACAATACTAAACTCAGTTTAAGCAACCAGGATTTCCTACATTTGAATAAGTGATTGCAATCTTAAGGCATGATTGTTCACACATGATTGCCCAAGCTCTATAGTATAGTCAACTAACTGTGACAATCGAGACATGATATGCTTAACTATGAGACATAGTCGGCTACCTATAAATATATAAATGACTAACTTTGAATTTGATACATGTTTTGCCAAGATTGTGAGAGATAATCAACTACCCCAAAAGGTAGAGTCAACTACATGTGATAACCAAGGCATAAAAATGTCTTGTTTTTGAAAAGTCAAGTACCCAAAAATGTATAGTCAACTAACCTAGACGGACTAAGTTTAAGTTGATATCAATCAATTGATAGGAGGAACCAATCACTTAACCAATTAAAAGGGAAAAAAGATTATTTCCTTGATCTAGTGGACAACTACCAAAACTTTGGTTGTTGACTACTTTAAAGAAATTTGACTGTTTGAAGGCTTAAATGATTATTGCTATCTTTAGTAAGTTTTCTACCATGTTAGAGCAAATTTGAATCATTTCTATAAGAATGGAAAATCCCTCTAACAATTAAAAAATGGCCACTTCCTCTCAAATCATCCATAAATTGAGGTGTTTAGCTTGATCCAAACCAAGTATGACAAAAAACAACTTATGCTACCATTGTAAATAGTTCATAGTGGTTTTTAGAGAGAGCAAGTTAGAAAGTCATTTGTTGAAGAGATTCTTGAGCTTTTATAATTTTAGTGGTGAAAAAAAGTTGAGAAGCCTTCAAGCTTGTACAATCTCACTTATCTATCGTGGATCCCTTCATTGAATTGAGAATCTAAAGACAAATTCATGCAATTGAGTATATTTGAGTTGTATATTACTACATCTACATATTTAGAGGTCTCTAGCTTATTGTAACTTACCTTGTGTTATATTTGTATTATCTTGAGAGCAAGTAGTTATTCTAGTTTGAGCACCACCAATGTCTTGTTGGCACCCAAAATCCCAATTGTTAGGTATTGCAAGCACTTGCAAATCCTGATGTGTAAGGTATTTAGGGATGTCAAAA